GTCGGTCTCAGTGCTTCTCTGCTGTCATGGAGTCGTTGAATCACAGAATAGTTTGGGTTGGAAGGGAACTTGGATATTGTCTACTTTCAACCCCCCCTGTATGGGCAGAGACACCTCCCGCTAGTCCAGGTTGCTCAGATCCCCATCCTGTCTGGCCCAAAACACGGCCGGAGATGGCAGAACTTTTTTGGGCAGCCTGTTCCAGAGTCTCACCACTCTCACACTAAAGAATGTCTTCCTAGAAATGGCCCCCATGTGCCCTCCACCCCCGACCTGTGAAAGCAGAGTGACCCGCAGCCCAGGGAGCCGGCCCAGCTCCAGCAGCGCCCATGGACACAGCAGGAGAGGCTTTTCTGCTTCGGGGCAGTGGCGGGGGGGGGTTTGCAGGGGCTGTGCTGGTGGTGCCGGCGTTGGAGGAAGCAAGAGTGAGGGGTGGGTGAGAGGGGTGCAGACCGCCCGGGTTGGGATGCAGGGCGTGTGGCCCATGGCTGCACTATAGCAAGGAGTAGGGCAAGAGGTGTCTGTGCGAGATGGGTAGGAGTGCAGGGTAGAGGAGAGTCTTAAGAAGTCGTCCTGCACTTTAGGGCAATGTTGTTTTGAGAGGCTTGCCATATCAGACACCAGCATATCTGACTGTGCAGGAGGAAGGATGGCCAACTCATGGAGTCACCATAAATTTGAAGGGAAATCACCTAGTCTGGCTCCTGGCACCGAGCAAAGCTGTGAGCTCTGAATATCTCCAAACCTAGAGACTCTACAGCCTCACTGGGCAGCCTGTGCCAGTCTTCAAAGCACACACCGAATCTGGACTCTTCTACTCTGCAGAAGAAACACACCAATTTTTATTTGTCATCCCACTGGTCTGAGTCATATGGGATATGATCAAGTGGCCCAGGATGCAAAGGACCTTTACCCAAGTCCTTCGGTTGTTTGGCAGTTCGAGGAGATAGAAATAAAAACTTACATATCAGTCATGGATAGTCTTTGATGAAGCCCTGTCCTCAGTCCCTGGCTCCTCGAGTACTAGGATGCCACTGCAGACTTTTCACCTCAAGGTCTGTGTGGTCTTGTAGGAAGAATATTTCTCCATTTTTCAGCTTCTACAAAAATACCCAGAACTTGACAAAGTTCAGAATAATGTAAACCATGCAAGTTCTGTTTCTGTTAAAGAAAGGATCAGATCAGGAAGTTGAACAATTTCCTCTAGATATATTATAGACTTATGAGCAACAAATTAGGAAGCTAAGAACAGCTGTGAACTGCTGAAACCCACTGGAGAAAACAGATGTTCAGTTAGAAAAAAACCCTTGGTTTATTGTGCTCAAGCACTAATGAACATGAAGTCATGCTTTTCATTTTACTTCAAATAATCTTTCTCAACTATGAAACTTTGCAAAAGATTCTGAAGAATTTTACAAAAATGCTGACTTTATTGCATCAAGAACTTACATTTAAATATATTTGCATATAACTCTTCCAAACCTGTATATAGTAGATAGGTTGTCTTGAGAAACAGAGTGAGTTTTCTCTAGGGAATCCTACAACTGTATAACCAGTCAGGTAACTGTTGTAGCCAGTCCTCTCTCATTGCCATGATCTATTGATGCAGTATTCACTGAAAAACTGTGATGTACTACTTAGATCTCCTTCTAACATTTACATTTGAAACTTAATACTAAAATCACAACAGAGTGTTTCTATAAAGAACAGTTCAAAGCTGCATCAAGGGAGGTTTAGACTAGACACTGGGAAGCATTTCTTTACTGAGAGTGGTTAAACATTGGAACAAGTTTCCTCAAGAGGTGGCTGATGTCCCAAACCTGTCAGTGTTTAAGAGGCATTTGGACAGGCATTTGGCTCCTAACAGTATACTTTAACTTTTGGTCAGCCCTGAATTGATCAGGCATTTGGACTAGGTGATCAGTGTAGGTCTTCCAACTGAAATAGTCCAGTCTATTCTATTCTTAAGGAGACAGGAAGTAACCACTGCACTGGCTCACTCTGCCCTCGACTATTTTCACGGCTCTTCTCACCACAGTCTTCCTTCCTTCCTTCCTTCCTTCCTTCCTTCCTTCCTTCCTTCCTTCCTTCCTTCCTTCCTTCCTTCCTTCCTTCCTTCCTTCCTTCCTTCCTTCCTTCCTTCCTTCGGACATTT